TGAAAAACACTTTTCCAAAACCATCTTAATATTCAAGTTTAATTAACTAGATACATCCACAACAATTTTGTCCTGTACCGAGCCAGCTCCCACTTTACTTGCAGTTGTAGTTATTTGTGCAGTGAAACAGCAGTTCATGTTCACTACTCTCCAACTCTGTGATAAGTTTTCTGGCCATTAGCACAGCATACATTTCTCTAACTGATATGATTGACAGTTGCAACTTTTTCTTTTATACATATTTTTTTGGGCTGGGGGCAGATCTCGTATCCAATAGATGACGATTCTGTTAAGAAAGTTATAAGATGTTGCATAATATTTTTTATCTTTCCCATATCATGTTCAATACAATTTTCTGTATGTTTGAAGGTACTGATAAGTTATATAGAGACTGCTGGAAGCACTATGACTCGACAGAAGGCTCTCAAAGAGCAGTACCTATTCACTTGTACATGTCCTCGCTGTTCTAAAGCGGTACTTTCTATACCTGAGATATCTCCTTTTGGGCTTTCATGGCATAGTATATTTCAGTAAAATTGACATGCTTTCATCGGCTAATTCAGTTAAATTAGTTTTGAAGGGTCAATATGATGATATCCAAGAAAGTGCAGTTCTAGAAGGATACAGATGCAAAAGTGAAAAATGTGGTGGTTTCTTGCTTCGTACAACTGGTAGGTAACTATGGCTGTTATAAATGTTCAAGTAGCTGGTGGGGAACATTATAATCTTTTATGGCTATTGATTTTGTAGTCTGATGGTACATCCTGCCCTTTATGAACACAAGTGAGATCAAAGATAGACAACCTGCCAGGTGCTTTTATGTGTTTCTTATCAATGAACTTATTTTGTTTTTGTAATCTGCTAAATTTGAAGATGGGAAAGGATTCCAATGCCAAGGTTGTGGACTCGTTAGGGACAAGGAGGAGATAAAGAGAATTGCAACTGAAATTAAATTGCTATCTGAAGAAGCTGCTTCTATACCCTCTACCACTTTCAGTATCCTTTAATGTTTCCAACAAAAAATTTTAATTGCAATAGCTATCACCTAAACTATTTTCTTTTTCTATTCTCCAATCTTCTCTCCTTTCTCTCCCCCCATGATAGCCTTGATCCATGTGCATATAAAATGAGTTTGTTGTGTCCATGAAGTCAAATCCTTAACTATTTGTAGATTATGAAGAAGCTATTTTCATAAATAAAAGGATTGAGAAACTGCAAACAGAACTCTATGATCCTTTCTCAATCAACTTGATGCAAACTAGAGAGAAGATTTTGAAGGTAAGCTCCTCCTTGTAGTTCTCTATCTATTCTACTCTTATTCCCTTATTAATATGTCTTGCTTAGCTATATCAAGCTCAACCTTGTCATACATGCTTTACTTGGCACAATTCGTATGGAGATTTGTTTAGTGCATGTAGATGTTATTTGTGCCATTGAAGCTACAATTTATGTTTTAACTCTGGAAATAATTGTTGTAAATATGACATTTTGTCCTCTGCAGTCATTAATGGAGCTGGAACACTGGACAGAAGCTCTAGCATATTGCAGATTGACCATACCATTCTATCAAAGTATGTCATACTGAACTTGGATCCCTAGTAAAAGGACATAATGAGATTCCATAGTATTGATTTTTTCAGTAGTTTCAGTCGTTGCTTTAAAAATTGTATATGTTGCTCCACAATTCGTGTATTCCTGGTTGAATGAAAAAATGAATATTCCTATGAATAGCAATAGTGATGCAAGGTTTTCTGGAAGCAAGGCAGATAAAATTTACAAGGAAAAAGTTGAAGGTTATAATTTAGGTGTTAGCTGAACATCCTAGAACATTTCAATTACATCAAGGATTTACACATAATATTGTGATGAGATTTGTCACAGAATGTTATGAGGGGGGGGGAA